TTGTAAATCTTCATCGACTGAGATGGTTGGGCCACGTGCTACGTATGCCTGAACACCAATTACCACGACGCTGACGTTGGGAATGGTTGAAAAAAAGTTAGGGTCGGTCAAACTAAAACTTGGCGTCAGTGCTTGAAGTCAATAACTTGTAGCCCGAGCCATCTTAGCAGATGCAGACTACTTGGTTGGGGTCCGGTGCGACTATCGTAACCAATGATTGGAGACTGTGGGTGACATGGCTCAGAATCTATCACAATGGCGTCGGTGTATACATTGTTTGTCTTCCCTTAAACTATCAGATTAAAATTGCTCCATATCGTTCTTCCTATCAATTCTTATACACAAACTTTCTTTTGTACATTACCATTGAAGTGACTACTTCTATGAATTCGGTGTTCATCTTGTTGTGCTAATGAGATGTGGTAACTTGGACCGATGCATATATATGCCTTGTGCTACGTTGTAGCTAACTGACTAAGTAACATAAGACAACTTATTTGTTAATTATATTAAAAAACCATTGAAGTTATGGTGATACGACTTAATATAACCTCGATGCGGAGATGTAATAATATGAGTAAATTAACCTTAATATTCATGACTAGATAATGAATTGTTAAAGTTCAATGAGTATAATGTAAGATATACATCTAAATGATGAATGAGAACAGGTGTAAAACACTAGTTTTGTTTTAGGTCAATGTTTAATTTATCTAAATGTTCACTATAAACAATGTTATATTATTAATTTAGTTAGTTTAGTCAATGAACTACATATCTCATATATGGTGCTTTGTTGATACATTGGGACACACTTTTACTTTTTTTTTCTGTAATTAAGGATTATGCTGATTAATAATAAGCCTTAGTTCAAATAACCAAAATAAAATGAGTTAAACTTTACCATATTACACAAGTTAGTGGCTATTTGAACTCAGTAGCTAAGTTGATGGTTAATAAGAGATTGATCAATTGCAGTCCTAAACACCAGTGGAAAGATTCAAACAACCAATACATGATAAACTCTAATATTAACTAATTTTGAGTAGTTTATCTAAAAATTAAGCGAAAATAATGAGCTTTTTGGGTGTTACATTAATCTGTTTAACTTTAAGTCTGGGTTAACAAAAACCATAACAAAGAGGAGGGGAGACAATATTTGTTTGTATTGTTCCGATGAAGGTAACTAGGTCATATTTTAGGGTATATATTGATTTTCATTTTGTACTTCCCACTTGATGTAGCGATTTTTAGTGGGAAGACAATGGGATTAGATTTTCATAGTATTTATAATTTGTGTAGGGGATTTGTTGAAGTTGTAGAATTTTCACAGTTTAAACCGCGAACACATCTTAAGTATACAACCATTAGAACCCTGAAAGCACTGGAAGGCCATTTTGTCCTATTATGGAACTTCTCAGTGACATCGAAAATCCTACATCATGAACTTTTCCCAGTATGGGACTTCTTAAAAAATACTCATTCATGACCTCATCAGAATTCGGATTCGTGACCTTGATATCTTCGGCAAATATTTGGTTTGCGAACTGATAATTCGGGGTATGATTTTTTACGTGTCTACGATAAATTTATGGTATTGTGCAACCATCTTTTGATGCTTTTCTCGAGTGACTGTTGTTCATTCAACTTGTTTAAACTCTGTTGATTACAGCTTAATACTAGAATCTCGGGTATTCTCGAATCTAGTCACTAGTAGTTACATAATTATTATTTAGTATAAAGGGTTTGGTAGAGATTGTTGAATTTTAAGGTGAACATTATGAATTGACTATTGAAAACTACGAAGCATTGTTGTGGAATTCTACACGGGAACTAAATATCTGTCTAGTGTTCATTGGTTTACTAGCTATGATCATTCCATGATGTAAACTATAAAATTTAACAATATCCACAAATCCCCCATAATGAATGACATATAGATGTGTGTTATTGAAGGATGGATACTTGTGCCTATATGATTAGGCGATTCCTCGGATTAAAATTCTCAATAGTCATTAAAGAAAACAACTGTTACGAATCCATTCATAAATGAACAAACAATAACCACTTTTCTTAGAGCAATTTCTGATACAAGTAGAAAGAATCATAACAATACTACTGTAAATTGTTTTGATTAATGTATTGTCCAAAAGTATGTGATTAAACTAATTGAAATGTATTGTATACAATACAATGTATTTTAATAGATAGACTTTGTCTTTTCATTATCACTATTACTGTATAATGCATGTGAGATGTTTTCGGTTGTTCGTTCATTTATATATTTATTGTGTTAAGGACTTATGTAGAATGTTGACTTAATAGTTTGGATGATGACTGAATCTATTTGTCTACATACATTGATATAAGCGAAGACGTCATGGCGTTTGACCGCTAATTGATTTCCATGCAGACAACGACGAAGGGGGTGTTCACTTTGTCCAGTGCAGTGCTTTTCGCAATTGGAATAGTCTATTTTTTAGATACTATGGATACACATTCGACTGGAAATATGTTTAGATCTTGCATAAAGGAAGTATTAAAAACATCTGAGAATTTTCAGAGACTTGGCACTCATGTTAATCAACCAAACAAAAAAAACATCGAAACTGATCCAATCTACCAACTAATCGGAAAAATCATGGACAAATATAAGACCAATGATCAGATCAAATGGAGATTCCATACAAATAGAGAGGTAAATAATGACAGGTTAAAGGTCAACAATAACCAATGAAGATCGAGGTCGACAGGAAAAGCTGTGAATCATATGTGGTGAAATTCGAACACTTCACTTTTACCTGATGATGTTCAGAAGCACATCTGAGCTGTGAATCTTCACCATATCAAAATACACCTGGACATAAGCACTGTTTCAGGAAAGGTTGATGTTCAACTCTTCTTAGTATTTTCTATTATATATTTTTTATTGTTTTCGACCTGAAAGATCAGTCCACTGATTTCATTGGACGTAGGGCGTACGTTTTGCATATACCTATCTACATAAACCACGCAAGCGAAAACTCATGCAATTCATATGCATAAGCATACACATAGGATAGCCTGCCAGATTTTTGGAGAGCCCCGAGAACGGAACCCAGTTAATTCCGTTTACAACAGAGTGGCGGATTAGTCTGACCACCGCCGATCGACCAAGTTAGCTAGTACGGTTGCCCCTACTACCCAGTAGCACCGCGGGGAGGCTTTACATCGGATTTCGCTGACAAGATCTTAGTAGCATTTATTATACGAAGGTTAATCATGATACTCAACTAAATTAATAGAAAGAGAAAGTACAATTTCGTCGATTTGGTTCACTGTTTACTGTTACATCCCAGGAGTCTCCAATGTTAATCAGGAAAATTGGTTCCGTAACTGTAACTGCATAACCAACTGTTATATTTGAAGAGCCGTCGCTCTTATGTACGTATCAACCCTATTGAGTTTACAGCCTAACTGCTTTTACTTGACAATCGGGAACCACTGCAATTCCTCGATCCTACTGGTTATACCGGGGAACGAGAATCCCCACAATTCCCAAGACGCAATCATTTATATGTCAAATTTTTACACATACTGCATAATAAGAAATACTATGAGATAAATAGGATTACCGTGAAGAACACTAAATATAGCTTACCTGAGTTAATATACGGAACAAAATTGTCACATTGGACGAGAGTTCACATTTGTCGTATAGAAGAAAGTTTATGCCAAATAGATACCAGAAAATAATGACCTAAATAATGTTATCCTTCTATCATGTCATATCATATCTAATTTCAATAAAGCACGAATTTTGTAGGCATACAGTATATTATGAATTCTTGTGATTCCGTTATCTCCTCTGCTACATGACTGACTAATTGCTGCTATAGTTATTCTTGCAATTCGCTTAAATTTTTCATCTTTAAGTTGAACTTCAGAGGATGTAACCATGTATCCTCTGAGTCCAGTATGATGCAGAAAAACGGGTGCTCGTTTAGCGCGTTTTCAAATATCTGAACATATATTGTAGAATGACCACCAGTTTCCTATCGAGCCTCTCCAATATTAGTTGATGGAAATGTAATCTATTTATGTCCATCATTAAACTGGTTTTGTGAGTCGTCATGGTAAACGCGGAAGTTTCCTTCACCTTGGTTTGGCTTACCTACTTTGTCATCAAAATCAGTTGCCATAGTTACTGAGTTCAAGGGTTTAGGCTTTCAAAGAATGTAAGTAAGCTTTCTGCAAAATTCATCTTTTTCTTTAGTGGGAGCGTAGGCAGATATGTTGAAGCGATAGTCCTGTGTTCCTTTTCTTTTTCCTTACAGTAGTTATTTATCAGGCAACACAGGAGCAGTACGTCCAGTTCTGAAGAGCTTGTCCTAGCTTAGAACCTAATTCCATAATTAGACTAGCGAACTCACGAGAAGTATCAGTAAAGCGTCCAGATAAACAAAGTGTAAATCGCACTGGTCCTCCACATTTGGACTCTATATGTGAGTTCCGGAGATGTAGTAAATGTCAACTGCACGGGTCCTAGATCATAAAGCCTATTGTGCAGTTTACAACACGTTTCAAACACTAAACACCCCGACGTGTAGATTTGGACGTGGTTTCAAGAAACAACGCTTCCTGAATTTATATCGTTAGCATTATTGGCATATCGAGAAAAATACGGAACTATTGGACAACAGAGATAGGTTGAATGAATTTGATCGTCAACAAGATTAGTATAAGTGTTGTAGGATTGTAGTTATCACTTCCCAGTTGCCAGACAGAACTTTCCTTTTCAGTTATTTGTCTGTAAATGAAACTGAATTAGTTATGATTTTACCAACTTTGAAGCATGAACACTAGGCTATTTTGTAAGTAGTTTCTTATGAGTTAGATTTTAAAGCGTTACTACCAAGGATGCGAATCTGTGAGATTAGATGAGGTTTTTTTTTGGGGGGGGGGTTAATCTTATCAACCATCACTTCAGATGCTAGTTTTTGGAGAGGAAAACATTTTATGCATACTTAACTACAGTCAGCAGTATAACTTCGCTTTCAGATCTTAAGTTGTTTCGTTTAGTGTTATACCTCCGCCCTTGACCTTCCTATTGCAGGGTATAGGGTTCGGATAGGTTATCGTTTTTGATAACTCTGATCACCATATCTAGGTAACAGCTACTGTCTGATGTTGTTGATTTAACCAATCTAATTAAAGAATTTGCTTATTAACTTACGGTTTTTTGTATGTTTATAGCACTATACAAATTATGTTTGAAGGATCAGAGCCTGGTTGTGGAGCAGGAAAGGTAATTCTCAAATAATTTTCTTTACGAAACCTGGCAATAATAATAATAACATCAACTTTTTACCTTGACAACAATAGATTTATCAGTCTGTATTCTTCTATTGAACAAAAAGAACGGTCAGTTCTGATGGAATAAATTACTCGATGACATAATGTTTAAATATCAGAAATATTGTGGCTGTAATAAAAAAATGTTTGAAAATACTCTTCTATTTTATATGACCAGATTTGTGATACAAGTTTATGTGTTACAAGGATCCACCAACATAATCATTTAACATACCACTATTATATAACGGAGATGAGTTTCTCTGATTCTCTGTAATATGATTTGATGCTTGATAATATATCAGGTAGATCAAGTAAACTGGGTTCTTCACAATCTGATTATCTATTAAGGACAAAATATAAACCAGAATAATAGTTTCTTGATACAGGATACAGAATCCCGTGTGGCAGGGTCGTGAATGCGCACTGCTGAGGAGTCCCACAATAGGACGAAACGGCCGCCCAGTGTTTCCAGGTTTTCCATGATGGTCTAGCTTCAATTGGCTCATGATCTCAAATATCGAAATTACTACAATCTCCACAAAACCTCTTCTGATATATATATAATTCTCTATCCCTTTTAGGGAGGTGGTGCCGGTGGTTCTATTCGTGAAGCTGGTGGTTCACTAGGCAAAAGGGAAGCCACTTTAGAAGATGAATACTTCCGACGTTTGGTAATCATTAAATATTATTAATAATTTTCAAATATCCTTTTTCTTAGGATAAACAAAACATCGAAGCACTCAAAGATAAACTGAATAAGAAATCTGTTGTGGAGAATCAATCTTCGGTAGGTGTGGCATTTAATATTGACCATTAAAAGCATATATATATATAATATTCATATAAGATCCTTGTGGAGATTGTTCAATGTTTCCAAGTCTGTTCTCCATCACCGACTGACATCAGCTATAGTACTACTTAAAATACTCTGAGTAGCATCGTAACATTATTGTCTTGTGATAGTTTGGAACTGTTTACCACTATACATTCATACAACTTCACAGATCATTGAATTGATAACATTTAAGTTTCTTAGAAAGTACAAAAATATTCAACATCTGAGTTGGAATTATATATATGAATTGTTGTGACTGTGGACTGCAGATTAGATGGAAGCCAGTTATCGACCGAACCAAAGACGCATAAACACGTCAGGACGGCCTAGATTTCTGATTGGTCCCGCCTCCCTGTCTAGCACAGCCAGTTGAGTCCAGAATGCAAGTCTCAGCCTCTGAGATATGAATCATTATATTTCAAGCATACTCTGTTTATATACCAATCAACCCGACCACAACGTATTAATAAAATAGAAAATAACATTTGTACAATAATTAGCGAGAAGTGGCTGTGAATGTGGGAGGTAGTAATTAACAGATAGGGAATAATTCATGAATGGTAAATCGTACAATAATAGTTCATAGGTCAACATAAAGCTCATAATAAAAGGGGCATGAATATGAAACAGTTTAGTTACATAACAATTATACGATAAAAATATACTCATAATATTGGTCCATAAATGGATCCCAAAAATTACCATTCATTATTCTCATCAGGATACAACATGAATAATGGCAATAAAGTGTCATACAACAAGACTATGATACAAACATTCATATGATTTTATTTAATTGTCAATGGTTAAGTTGATGTTTATTATGGACAGTTATGTTAACCTTGTAATTAGTTCATCTTTGAATGTTTATCTTAATAATTACACTTGTCGTTTGTTAACGATTCATCTAATATTCTTATTGTTTGTTAAAATCATTACTGATTAAATTTTAGTATGAAATTGAGAAATTCAAGTTGTATTAAACCTACTATATAGATTTGAATAGTTAAACTTTGAATGAGTTCATGTTTACATCATAAATGATTTATTAAGATGAATTCTTTCACGTTCGCTTTTATATAAAGGATATATAGATGTTATCAAGGTACAAGAAGGCACCAAATATATATGCGCCACACAGATCTCATTTGATATGTATGAGCGTTGTGATACTGCCCGGGTGCCCAAACTGAAGCAGGTGGTTTTCTTAGGGAGCCACACCCGGAGCCTTCGAACAAAATTCTCAACCACAAAGCAGTGGAGCAACTTCAGGAGATACGGTCCCATGGTAGCCGATGACCAACGACTGGTTCATACGCCATTCGTTCCTTCAGGATCCTTGAGTTCATGTGCATCTTTGGTTTGGAATCAGGGTTTTCCAACTCTCCTAGGTGGACTCCCCATGTCCACCAACCCGGTTAAAGCGCCGGACATTCGCTTTTCGTCCTCTCAATTTCGTGAACAACACCCGTGCCACAAGAAGGTAGTGAGTAGGACTTCCCTGGTAGAGGCTATATGAACGTGGCTATGTGATAGCATTTGGAGAGGGAGAGCGGACTTTCCCCACTCTCGGCCGTACCAGGGCATTTGGGGGCACAGATGTTATCATATTGATATATTCATTAATCAATCATAGATTTCCAATTTCAATCAAGAACTAATACTTACTAAATTACCACGGAAAATTTGCAAGAATAATTGAATACCTGTTTCATTCTAGCACAGGACTCCTTAGTGGAAGTGTATATTTACAACTTTACATCCAGAAGTCAAACCTAAGACCTTTAGTCTAGCTCACAAATTCCTAGAATCTAGATCAATTAACCGGTATCCAATCGTGTTAGTGTCCAAATGCAGTCAATTCACGATATTACACAACTCTCACTTGTCTGTTGTGGATAACTTTCCCATATATCACAGTTATCTGGTTTATAGCTAATAACTTAGCATATATATGGGTAATTACTAACTCGCTTCCATTCCATTCATTGTGTATAATACATCTTTTCGGTTTAAACGGTAAAACGGTAAACACTAGAATTGTTAAAAGAGAGAGAGACAGAATATAATAGTAGTTAAACGATAGAAGGGAACAAGCATATAAGAAAAAAGTTTCTGTAAAGATTCTTGCCAAGTAAATAAGAAAATGCTCTGCACAATACTTATCACTGATTTCAGTTAGCAAACAAAGAGTTAAAGATGCAGTCAATCACGGTCTGAACAACTCTATGATAACATTCTTAATTCTGAAACTGGTTTAATTCTCATGAGATACATCAATCCTTGACGAGACTATAATTTATGGACGACCTTTGAATGAATTTTAAGTGACGTTGAAAAGTGTTAATCAATCATAAAACAGTTAGTATATAGTAAAAACATTATGTAAAGCCAAAGAATCAAAGTGGATACACTTCTTTTACATGGTTCAAAAACTTGTCATGTTTAGAAAGAGGTTCAGAGTTTTTAAAGTCGTAATGCATTCGATAGAGGAACTCATCCATATGGCTTCGTAATAGTAGGCCTCTGGAGTCATGATAAAGTCGCAAAAACTATTTCAGCCTCGACCACATATCTTCAATATTGTTTATGTGCACTCCGGTTGTGTAAGCTTGTCATTTTTAATTACACATATATCTCTACACTACTCATACCACTAAACAACCGAAGCTTCAGTAACATCTGCGAATGTTGCAGCCAGTGTTACTGATGCTTTTATTATACAGTTCGCAACAAATATCAGAATTTGTCTTCGTCTCTATCTGAATCGAACGAAAAAAGTCCTTATTCTAGCAGACTTCTTCCTCTAACATATATTATATCAAAAGACAACATCATCATGGTAGTCTACACAAAGTCAAGTCATTTGATTACCACAATAACAAATAAAAACCCTAATAGTCCCATTCGTTGTAGCCGCTCAATTATCATATGTTCTCTAGAATCCTCTGTGAACCGACCGTACGTAAACCTCAATTGCTGAAATGGGTGTCGTAACCTTGATCTCCCTCAAACGCTTCTGATTGGCTCGTCCACAAATTACAGTCCCTCCCAACTCCTTTGAAACTGTGGAAACTTTTTGTTTTCGTGAATGCTAACTAACACACAAATCTAGATTAAAGACATACCTAATCTGTCATCAAGTTATGTAATCACTTGACATTGGCGTTAACACTTTATGTAACATGTTAACTGCTTGCATTATGTAACAGAGAAATAAAAAATTACTAGTATAGGGGTTGTGGAGATTATTAAGTTCTTGATTGAGATCATGAACCGACTGATGTTTCACGAAGCTAGTCAAAAATTTAATAATCTCCACAACCTCTATGTTAGTAATTGACATGTGCTCACTAGTGACTAGCTTCGTGAGAAAATTCTCGGAGTTCTAATGAGAATCCGTGACCAGTGGAGCTAATCCATGTCGGGTAGAGACAGGTATCTACCTCAGTACAATGAGAGATGGTTGCGCAATTTCGTGATGTTAGACACTATCACCATTGGTTGCCGGCTCAGTGGTCCAGTTGACTAAGCATTCGCGCGCGAGACCGAAGACCCTGGGTTCGAATCCCGCGGGCGGGATCGTGGATGCGCACTGCTGAGGGGTCCCACAATAGGACGGAACGGCCTTCCAGCAGTGCTTACAGGTTTCCAAAGGTGGTCTAAAATCATTCAGTTCATGATCTCAATCAGAAATAAAAGATGCTTGATAAGTAATTTTTTATTTTCATTAGAAAATCTGATTTCTTTTTTTCTCGCTTCATTTACTTTTCATCTTCATTCAGAAGGAAACTAACATTTAAACGATGGATAATAACAATCATAATCTGTTTTACCGTTTTTTAATGCTTTTAATAATGTGTTATACGCATAATTTCCTAATGTATTGACTATTTTATTTTTAAAACAACAAATATATCCTCTTTTTGCTTGTAAAAATCAATGTTGTGCTTTACAGTTGATTGATCACTGGGCGGTGATCAATGTCATGTGTGGACCCGGATAACTCAGTGGTAACGTCTCTGACTGTGAAGCTGGGTAACATGGAATCGAATCTGCCAGGGAGCACCAGTTCCCTCAAGATTACAGATGCACCTTGCTGACGACTGCCAAGTAGCAAGAAACCCAGGTTCAGGGTTTCCTATCGACTACCTCCAACCACCATCTAATCTCAATGTTGCGCTTTATTTTAATCCATTGATCTAGTCACTCGTAATCAACTTAGAACCTAATACAACTTAGCGTTGGCTCAAATTACTATGCCAGATCAACATGACGAGTTGCAATCTAATTCAAATACTATGATAGCATTGGTAATGAAAGAAAAAATATATTGAGAATAAAGTTTGAAAAGATAGTGTTGGAAGGTATATACGAAGAAATACTGAAATTCAAGACCGAACAGCGGATAAAGAGTCAATGTATTTATGTAATGGTGATAGATTCTGAGCCAATATTACCTGAAGTTTTAAATCACTGATGACGGTTATTACGCTGATCTCTATATCTGCCAACATGACTCACCAACTGTCAATAACTTTTTCATTTGTATGCCCCTATTTTTCTTCAAACCTATTCACATATCAGATAACATTACTTGTCAAAGTAGGCGGTGATAGGGCATATGTAACACATGATCGATTTTCCTTTATTAACTAGTACCTCAACATTTCCCAATCGGTCGTCTCATGATGAGCAAATAGTTCTTCGAAGTACCTAGGACAAAAACGTGGAGTCTTCATATGTGTTCTACTTCCAACAACTGTGTTTCATACTAAGAATTATGTAGAGGGACCCTAAAAACAAATCATTTCACTTTATTGCTTAGATTTCTGTTGCTAACTTATCTAAAACTACTCACATAAAGACTGTACATGACCGACCACAGGCGGTTTTCCTTTTTGCAATGTGATCACTATACCAGTTTGTCAAGACCACATCCCCCACCTAGTTTCATTTTCAAGCATCTCAATATCATTTGTCACTTCAAAGCGTATTCGAACGACAGTTAACAACTGGGTCACACCTTTAACAGTACTTGAGATCACTTCGTTCACAATCAAAACTTATCCGTTGATCTAATTGTTATTCTCCTGTTGTCATTGATCTCTTCTTTTAAAAATATACTTGATTGATTATGTAAAAACTGATTAGATTAGTGGATTCACGGTTCATATGTCTTGTGAATTTACCAGCGATAAAGGTTAGTGTTTTACAATATATGCAATCATACTGCTTACCTTTGAATCTCACAAATATAGACAAACGTCTACGTTTATGATCTATGGAATAAAAATCTAGTACAATTAGGTACCAAAAATAGACTATACTGCACAGAACAAGTTTGTGTGTAGGCTGAGATACGGCGAAATTGCCAAAACTGAAGCAAGTAGAATGCTAGGAGGCAACTCATCTAGGCTTTGATCTAAAGGTCTAATTAAAAGAGAGTGGAGCAATGTTAAGGGATGCTGTAACCGGTAGTCAAATATAGGCCCATACACCATTCGTCTTCAATGGCCCTTGGAGCGCATGTACATTGTCAGGAATCAAGATTTTCAAAATTCCTCATGAAAGTTCTCAATATTCACCAACTCGTTTTCATCGCCAGACATTCGCTTTTCTTCCCTTTACTTTCGTAAACAACGCCTCTTTGAAAAAAGTTAATGAGTAGAACTTCCTTAACAGAGGCTAAGAATGCATGGTCGCATATGGACACTTTGGGAGGGAGAGCGGACCTTCCCAAGCCTTGTGTGCACTAAGGCTACGATTAGGATTTACAAATAGAAGCTGTGGTTAAGAATTCATGTTAAAATTTTCATGATGGACTTACGTCAGTTATAATGTCGAAATTTCGTTTAACCATATGGATGAGTGAATTTCGCGCAAAAATCCAGGACTTACCATCTGTAAATTCATTAATTATTCCATAAATTATAGTCTGCCAGATTTCGTTGTGGATCAATTTGTAGATAGACTTAATAACGTCAAAATTTCGTACTAACTTATGAAGGGGAAAATATTGACCATTTGTCCCTTCTAAACAAACTTTTAAGTTTTTGGTGGAGTTTTGTTCTCTGAGCTGGATGGTTTGGTCGTGGAGCTTTCATCGTTCTTCTGAACGACATCATCAGCACAAACTTCAAATAGAAGTGAAGTGTTCGAATTTCTCCACATATGGAGAAGAACGATGAAAGCTCCACGACCAAACCATCCAGCTCAGAGAACAAAACTCCACCAAAATCATCCACCTGAGCTACAAATCTTCTCCACCATCTCAAAACTTTTAAGTTGAAAGGAAGATCAGGTTAAAAATGCAATCAATTTACAGGAAGCTCACATGGACTGGTCAATATCTAACCTACAATTTTTGTCCGCTGAAATATAGGTGAGGTTTGATAAGAAGCCTCCTAATGAAGATCTAAAACTGTTGACTAAAAAAATGGGTCAGTGAAAATTGGAACTCTTTATTAAGTGCTGTTTCAAAGAAAAACATTTACATTACTGTAAAAAAACAAAAGAAATTAAAATTAGACATCGAGAAATCCCCTTTTATTTTACCAAATCGATTATCATTAAAACATACTACTCAACATTGTGTAAATGCTCACATGATATCCCACTGTACTGACCAATGTGCGAGTATACACACATAAGATGGAGTAATCAAACAATCCATCCTGAGGTCATATGACATGTATCTCAATACTATCATAATTAGTTATTGTCAAATAATCTGATAAACATAGGTGATGTGAACAGGGAAACAAGAAGCCCAGACAAACTACGAATGCTTTTTTTTCGGGACGTTATTCCATTTTATTCAAATCTTGTAAAACACTGACATTTATTTTTGTCCCTAATCTATTCTACAGAACATAAGCTTTCGTTCGATGTATGATTCATTGCCATAACCTTTTCTATTCCGAAGATATTGTAATTTAAACACAATATTTTGCACCCTATTTTTTCTACGCTAATTCCCAGCTTTGTACACAATTGTATTTTTCCTAATCATTGTATGTTGTGACGACCTAGTCACCTATTTATTCATGTACCTTTTTACACTAATCCAAAAATCAGGATATCGGGAATAGATCGAGTAGTGTTCCAGTTGTCTTCTCTCATTCGCATGCTTGTCAGCCAATCAGGTGATAGAGTAGTTTTCTTCTCTCTACCCCACTTCGAACTCACGAATACTAGCCTCAAGTTAGTTCGGTCAACCTATCGCACCAAGGTCTTATTCTGGATTAGATACGTAACCTCAGTAACAAAAGTGGGTAGACAGTCCAAGGACATAACAATAGGGAATAAAAGATCATTATCCACGTTAGTAACACACATAGTTGTAACAGACCATAAGATTGATTTTAAAACACCTTAAGAAAACTTGTTGTGTAGATATTGTTAAAGACATACAGTTTTGGGGATTAGAAACTCCTTTGTGTAAATATAAACAATTTGTCTTAACCTTGAATCTGCCCAATTAGTTGCCAGTGATTTTCATTAACAACTATCTGTAACTAGATTGGTCAGATATCTATTACAGATCAACTCCGTTTTCTCATTACATTAAGTAAATCTATATGAAGAGCCTAGTTGTTTTATGCTAGGTTCTCTAAATAAGCCATTAATGAACCAGTTGTTAGCCAATTAATTTTAATTTATCCAAATTTGAACTATTATTATGTAAAACGATTGCTTATCTCTTATCAAATTGTGCTATGAAATGTAAGTTTCCCCCCATAGAGAATATAAATAACGCAGGAGTTCAATGTGTTTTAAACCATAACAATGGAATGTCTTTGAATACAATCGATTATCTGTAATTAACTACTATTCGACCACATAGTGGAATCAGGTGTAGGATACTAATTAGACATTAGAAAAGTTCTATAAGTCTGTGAATCTTCGTCAACAGAAATAGTTGACAGATGTTTTACACATTCTCAGCCACTGTCTCCGTGACGAGGGATCGTGGTTCACGTCGAATCGGAAAGAATTAGAAAAGCTCAACCCAAAATATAAGACCAAAACAAAAAGTTACTTACGCCTGTTACTCCCAATGGAGCATGAGCCGCCGCATCACAAGATATACACTTATCGGTTGGAATTAATGTAATAATCGCAATGTATGGTTGAAGACTTCTCGAATTGATTAGTGGCACAGACACAAGTAATCTTTATCTTACTTTTGTTACTATGTAGAGTCTAGTTTTTCTCTCTGAACAATAATTATTTCGATTTACGTGCTTTCGATCTAGTTAATCTTCTTCCTAAATTTATAGATGAAAAAGTGTGACAACTTGAAATGATGATGCACATTTAGGCCAAGTTTTGCGATGTGTATAACGTAAATACTAGCTAACTGATTGAAGACATACTTCAACGAGTCTTCTCATCTATACACCCAAACTACATTCCTGATAAATCTGTTACTGGAACACTTATTATTATAACCCCAAACTACTTCTATACATTAACTCAAACAACAGAGAAAAGGAGGAACATGAGTAAAAGAATCCGTTTATTTACAGAAAATCGAGGGTGTATATAAATATGTATGTAAACGTGATCTGGAACTTTTCAGGAACATGCTAAATATAGTAAGCGTATAGTTAAATATCCTATAGGGATGATCCTTAATCTTGTTAGATATTTTGAGGAAGTTTCTGCATGACGCTACTTGGAGAAAAACATCTGACAATTTCTGGGTACGTAGAGACTTTGGAATTTCCAACAAGTTCAACTCGTAGATACATTAGATATGAAACATTTATTGAGTTTCATTCTCCAAAATCTAAAGGTTCCATTACTGTCCTGAGACCTTTTTCTATTGTGTAAATGCAATACCATGTCAATAATTTCCTTTCACACTACAGCCCTAAAATGCATTGGTACGGCTGAGTCAGCTCACTCGCTTTCCGAATGATCTCACATGCCCACGTGAATACAACGACTGACAGGGAAGTCCTACTCACTGCCTTCTCTCACTACGGGTGTTGTTTACGAATTTGAGAGAACGAAAAGCAAATGTTCGGCGCTTTAACCGGGTCGTTGGACACAGAGAGTCAACCTAGGAGAGTTGGGAAATCCTGATTCCAAACCAATGGTGTACATGGTCTCCAGGATTCTAAGGAAACAAATGGCGTATGAACCGATTGTCGGTCACTGGCTACCAAGGGACTGCATCTCTTGACGTTGCTCCACTACTTTGTGGTTTAAAATTTTGTTCGAAGGCTCCGGGTGTGGCTCTCTAAGAAAACCACCTGCTTCAGTTTAGGAACCCGGGCAGTATCTTAGCTCTCACACAAATTAAATGATTTATGTGGTGCATATCTATTTGTTGACTCCTTGTACCATTGCTTATATGTTTAAATAAATAAATTTCGAACGACAAAACGAATCTAGTTATTCATTTAATATCTGTAATATATGAGATCTCATTCAAAATGTATCCAGCTTTACCATATGGTTTAATTATTACTTTTTGTATCATAAAACCTTCATTATCTGACGCAGACTAAGAGTTCTTGGTACGTTGTTTGTTCGTAGCTTTAAACGATCTTCACTACATCTTCGACTATACTAAATGACAATAATTCTCTACTTAACACTTAGATCAGATCAAATACCATAAGTCATTAAATTGTAATTCAATGTCAATAATGTGAGTAATCTATAATCATTATTATTGTTAAGAAAGAACACATGTATTCGCTTGACAAATAAGCGTACAGATTCATTGAATGATAGAAAGAGAAAGTGAGAGAGACTATACAAGAAGAAATTCATATAGAAATATGAGAAAACACAGAACATAATACAAAAAGGAAATATGCCTTATATTATAGACAACAATTATGATCACCGGCTATTAGAAATAATTAGATAGAAATTTTAATAAACACATATGTATACACACTTTAAGTGGTCATAACAATATGGAATAGAACATTGAAATGAAAAGAAACTACACAACATAATATTAAATGTTATAGAGTAAAGTGGATGAATTCCCTTTATAGAACACCATAGTGAACATGAAACGAAAAGAAAAATGCAGTAACGAGAATATTTAAAGTGACAAAAAAACACATCAATAAATAACCAACCAAGCAACCACCTACCCACCCACCCACCTACCTACCTCATCTTAACAATCCCAGTTTACAATGGTGATTGTAAAGAAGACAATGAAAATAATTGAGGAACTATTATACAATAACAAATGAGAATACTTTCCTTCTTTTTTTTTAATGAATCAAATCTAAATAACACAAGAGATAGTATAGATGATAAACAAACATAATCAATGTTTTAATGCTTATTATTCTATAAATATGAAAATTTAAAGTTTCAATTTCATTCATACTATACTTTACATGAGATTATAACAAGTTATAAGGTAATTAGGAAAAGAAGATTAATAACACTACTACTACTACTACTCAGTTGTTTAGATGAAATTAAGTAGTGTGAACGTGTGACTTAGTGAATAAAAGTTGAATGTATTAAAAATAACCAGTGAACTACCACTGTTCCACGATTCAAAAGAGAGAGAGAGAGAGAGAGGAAATCCAAGACGTTTTACGAGTGAATTATGTACATAGAAAGAAAAAGTTTGTATGTTCTTTTTTCTTCTTCAAAGTTAGTGAACATCTTTATGAGTTCGTTTAGGAAATCCCACTACATTCATAAACCATGACATAATATAAAGAGAAAAGTGAAGTAAATGAAACCCGAAAAAGAGACAAACCACAAACAAATAAAAGGTTGAGTAAAATTTTCTTTTCTTTTTTTTAAAAACAAAACAAAATACATACAAAGACACATACATGTGAGATCATACTGGACCTTGATGACGATGATGATTATTATTATGTAATTATACAATTTGTATTTGATGACCATTTGACGTTGAATCGATTAATTCAAATGCATTATTATTATTATTATTATTGATGATAGTTGGATCAGAGGTAATTGTCTGATGTAATGCAACTTCCATTTCCTTCTTTGTTTCTTCACCTTCGATATTTTGTTGTTTTTCTTTGTGTTTTGTCATTAAATCAAATTGACGTCTTTGAAATAAGTGAAACAAAGAGAAAGGAATGTGTGAATTGTATAAGAAGAGATCAACTAAATTATATATTAAAGTGATTAGTCAGTCAGTCAGCTATAACGTAGGACCAGGCACATATGTGCATCGGTCCAGGTTGCCATACCGCATCAGCACAACAAGATGAACACCGGATTCATAACAGTGGTTAGGTAAAAGGTGGTAATATATAAGAGAAAGATTGCACATAGAGATATAGTACAAAAAGAAAGAATTAGTTAGTAGAAAGAAAGATATGAAGCGATTTTAATCTCACACTTTAAGGGAAGACAGGGAGTGTATACGCCGACGCCATTGTGATCGATTCTGAGCCATGTCACCAAGAGTCCCCAACCATTGGTTACGATAGTCACGCGGACCCCAACCAAGTAGTCTGCATCTACCAACATGGCTTAGACTAGAAGTTAGTGACTCCAAGCACTGATGCCACGTTTACGTTTGGCCGCCCCTAACTTTCTTCCAACCATTTCCAATACCGGATAGCATTGCACGTCGTGGTAATCGGTGTTCAGGCATACGTAACACGTGGCCCAACCATCTCAGTCGATAAAGATTCACAACCTCATCAACTGATTTACCATCATTTCCTAATACCCTGCGTCTAACCTCCGTGCTGAGATTTCGTCCGATACCAACCCATTAGGGCTGATCAGACTTCCAAGATAAGTGAAGTTATCGACGCGTTCGACTACTTCACTCCCTATCCTTAGTTCAGGTGTTAACGCAGACCAGTCCTGAAGCAACAACTTGCATTTAGAGCGAGAGACATTAAAGTGATAATGATAATTATCACGATATTGTCTCAATAGATCAAAATGAAAATATTATAACAACAGAATAAAATGAACAGTTTAAGAGGTTACACTAATTAACTGTCATCGCTTTTGTATAGTTCGGATCAAGTTCCATTGTATATTATTAGTTTAGGTGGTTCCTCGTATGATGTGCATCGTAGTTTTGTTCCAAGTGATAAATCAAGGCGATTAATATGAAGCCCTGTTTGACATAAACTTCATAGTAAATGACGTGTCCAAAGAAACACGAAAAGCACTTATAGGATAGGAATCTGACAGACTTAGAATCACCAAAGCATTCGTAAGACCAAAAGAGAGAATTACGATGAATTTTATCCAGGGCTATGCACCCACCAATGATGAAAATAAAGACGAGAAAGACCATTTTAATGGTAGGTTGCAGTAGAGCTATGTTCAGGAAAGGACCTGATCAACCTGATGGGAGACCTGAACGTCTAGATCCAAATGTACAGTACCTGGAATTTCTAAGTTTGCGCTCATTCAAAAAATCGTAGTCATAAGTTTCATTACTCCAGGTTTATCACTGATTGATTATTCCCCTATTACTTCGGTTCCTTGTCACATGTGGCTAAGTTATGTACACTAATTGTGTTGCTGTGTGGTCAAAATATGTCAAGTATATTATTGTATGAGCTTTGAGTCATGATTGAATTGAATAAAAGACAATAGATCCGTTCTTTCTACCTTCCTCTTTCAATTGACTACTGGGTTAGAAAGTACTCGAAGATAAATAATCGTTAAGATCATGGCAGTTGTTCGTTGATCGATGAGTCAATTAGTAAATAAAAGATTACCGGTCCCACTAATAATATACGTGAAATAATCGATAATCGAACTAGGAAGAGAGATTGAAATCATACAACTGTTTCCTGTCATTACGGCCCAATACCTGCCCGAACAAGCAATCTACATAGATAAAAACACAACAACAATGCTTACTTAGCTAACCACCAAGTAATTGTGGATCCAATCAAGCTGATTATTTTTAATGCACATACAGTACCAAGCCAAATAAATGGTAAACCTTCTAAATTATACTCTAAACATCCACCAGCTGTTGTAGAATACTTTTGATCTAAAGACATTGTAGTCGCAGTGGTTGTAGAAGACGATGAGTAGATTGATGACAGTGGAGATGATGATGGTGAAAAAGACGAAGACGATGAGAATATGGATGAATTTGATAATGATGATAATACATTTGTATTCATTAATAACGATTCATTATTATTTATTGGACTGGATGAATAATGATCTATAGGATTTGAACGATATTGACAAGCTAAATCGAATAGTTGGCCGAAATACATCGGTGCCGGAATATATGCTATTCAAAGAAAAAAATGAACAAAGAGCATTGATTCACTGATTCAAAGGTGAACATTCCTATCCAACTGTCATTGAAAAAAGAGAATAATAATATTTTCTAGTAACCATTACTATAATACAATCGAGATCGAGATTAGGGTACCATTAGACTAAATACTCGATAGATACAATATACAGAGACTGGATAACGTTATACTAGATACACTATTCACGAACAAATATAAAGAAGACCAGAGAACACGATTAGGCAATAGTTTAATCAGTACAATTATAAGCATTATAGCATGGAAATCAAACGTTAAATAGTAAGTAAACTAAGTGTTTGCCTGTTCACATTCAGTAGAAAATCACAACTTAATTTTGCTATCCATATATTAGTTATTTGTAAAGGCTTAGTATTTGACCAATTTTTGAGATGTTCAGGATTTCAACTAATCAGTCCCTTATGATGTTCGTGTATTTCGAACGTAGACTGATTCAATATTGCCATTCAATTGTATATTATTGATTCCACCACTAATCACTACCCAATTTTACGGAAATTTGTAACTAAAAGGAAATATAGAATTAAATTTATATCGATTGTACAAGCTAGCAGTTATTTGGACTCAATATCTCAGTGAATAATATGTTAGCCATTTGAAATGAAAGGTGCTATGTTCCATTGTGAACAATGGGATGAAGGTAGTATATCCGGTTAATGAGTCCTGAATAGAACGAAACGCTCGTCTCGGATTCTACTGATAGCCAACTTTACTAAAACGTGTATCAACTGCTTTTTAGATTTAGAGTAGCATAAAACAGTTTGGAAATAATGTTTCGATTTATTAACTGATATATGTTAGAAGTGGATGTAGGTGAGTTCAGAACAATTTCTGCACGTGGTTTGGGTGTTCTGAATAATGATGAGTTGAAACAACTACTTCAGTTCAAAGCAGATTAATATATTAACAGTCAGAACTTATTGGAATTATTCCAAACAATTGACACAGTTACCAATGTCACTGATACATTTTGAACAAAAAAATTAAGAACAAATGGATGGTGGAGAGATGTTGAATAAAGTTTCAACGGACCAGCCCCAATTATTAACTTGAAAGATGAGGTATCCAAATTTGACTTTTCCACCTACACAGCAAATTAACGTTTGAAAACAAACATCACCTAGACTTTACATTCAGTCGTAAAAGTACCAGAGTACATCAAGACATTGTTCAAATAATGTGATCTTGAAAACGTAGCAGATTGATATCTCATTGAGTTTATATAAACCAATAGCTGAACCTCAGTAAAAACAAAATAACTACTAACAATTTAGTACTACATAGAGTTTAGTATATTTGGCATCAGAAACATAAGAAAACAGCATCACACAGACTGTTTCACTGCTATGCGGAATTTGTATCCTACAACTATGCATCACATTACTTAGTCTAATGTTTATCACTATAAAAAGAAGAAAGAAGACAACATCCATGGTAGATCGTTTGTCAGTATCTCTTATACACATCGACCAACAATAAAAGTTGAAGTGGATATTTGAAGTCATAGTATATAATGACTAAATCAACTACTTATCTGAATAAAACAAACAAACAAAGAGAACCAAATTATAAAACACTATTGTTTTACAATTTTTTTTTCTTACCTAATGTTCTGACAAAGAATATCTGTAATCCAAGTGCAACAGAACTATCTTCTGATGAAACACAACTGTAAAGATAATTTACAAATCATATCTTTATTAATTTATTTTTATAAAATATGAATGAACAATTGTATTCATTTTAAAGAAGAAAAAGAAAGGACAATTTCAAAAGAACTAATCTTAGCCATGTTGGATAAGTACAATTGATGTTGATTTGAGGTAATTGTGATAATTACAATTAGTGGTTAAAGACATTGAATGATATGGTACAGATGTATTCACTGTTTATCTTAATGAAGATTTTCACAGCTCCAGTATTCCCTTGTACATATTTTCTTTTTATTTAGTCTTTTTCGGACGATGTTTGCTATGATTAATCTTTCTCATCATTATTACTACTTAATTATACCGATTCTTTTAATGTTCATGTTTATCTCATCATAATGATATTAAGGTATGAGTCAACACACACATCCGCCAGGTTCTATGTCGGTTATAACTAATAAAATAGAACTGTATATGTAGAAATCTTACCATTGAAGTTTAATGGAGATATCATACCTAAAACTGATGAAAATCGATGAAGTGAGATCATCAATAGATTGAGTTTATTGGAATCAAATAGTATCGATTGTAGGTAACACATTTACAAGCAATTGTATGTGAAGAGGAAGCAACATAAACACTGCCTATCATTTTAAAAAATATCAAAGAAGTGTACGAAAAGAGATCCTATACAAGTTAGAACTTCTGCTGAGCTGAGTTATATATGATTGAATGTTTAAAACATATTTCTTAATCAGAAAGAGGTTTTGTGGATATTATAGTAATTTTGGTAGTTGAATTCATGAGTCAATTGAAGCCAGATCACCATGGAAAATCTGTGCTTCCAGGTTTTCCATGGTGGTCTGGCTGCAATTGACTCATGAATTCAACTATTAATATTTGCCAATCCTTAGACAACCTGAACGTAGGTCAGTGATAGAAATGCAGTTGGCATACAAACGAAGCGAATCTATTGTCGTTTACCTAGGAACATTACCTTTTATGATTGAGGACAAGTAAAACATAGAAACAAGTTCTATCTATGAATTATTACTGATGCGAGCCAACAGATTGATATAAATGTAACACATAAAGATATACACATTGAATCCTATATAATTTGACTTATATATTTGCTCTTGTGTGCAGTGGAAGTTATAACAACTCAATAATTCTTCAATTCACTTGATATTGTTTTTACTTGAATCTTCCCATTGATGTTTTTTTAGCACTGAAATTGATCAGTCTCTTATTGGCATATGTGCATACTGTGCGTATGCCTCGATATTGCCTTAATTTACAAGCATTATAAGCAAAGATGGATAGTGGCTAGCAGTGGAATCCAGGACGCGCGTTTCGTCCTGTTTGGGACTCGTCAGCCGGATGTACCTGCATCTCAGAGTTGATGTTCACTCTGGGACTCGAACTCAGTACCGTTCGCTTCAAACGCCATCGCGTTACCCACTTACCTACTGAGTCCTGATAGCCACTTGCTTGTGCAATGGGGTGAAGTTTAATTCACTTGATATTGTTTTTACTTGAAATGCGCGTCCTGGATTCCACTGCTAGCCACTATCCATCTTTGCTCAATAATTCTTCGTATAAAAAGAAACATTTACACAGTTTATTTCTCTTCTCAGGACATATCTAATTTCTTTGAGCTGGGGAACAAAAGACCAAAATCATTTACCTGAGCTACAAATATTTTCCACCATTGTTATTAATTCTCGATACTTAAATGTCAAATAAGAAATAAGCGTTCATCAATTAATTAAGAAAAGAACATCATTTCGTTCTAGAATGTCTGAGTGTTAGGTTCGTTTGGCATTATATAAAAAATATTTATTCCCTTCCTATCTGACTTCCTTCCTCTTTATTAATTATGCTACTGATTAATAATCAGTAACCAATTACAATGTTAATAACTTTTGAACATTTCGAGAGAGAGAACGGAATCTCCCCACTCTCGGCCGTACCAGGCCATTTGGTATTATATTGCGTGCAATACATATGAATATTTCAACTTGGTGATTTATTTGTCAAGCGACCAATAAAAAAATCATGGAAGAAAACTTCTGATAAACCTCAAAACAATCTAAACACGAAACAGTAGCTTATTGTTATTTAAGCTAAAATTCTTCAAACAAATATCGGTTACTCGATGTGTACTTGTACTTCAATCACATTTTGAGTGTGAGAGGCTAACACTAGTAATAATCGAAACATTTAAGCATCCGCTTCACGTATCATCAAGAACAGTAATCACAAAACAAAGTAATATTGAAGAGTGTTAATTCATTTATAGGAAATTCTAACAAATAACAATATTCAGTAGTTATCATCATTAATCCACTCACCTCAATGTGATTACATTACTTGGATTTTGTAACATACCAGTACAAAGAATATGTAAGAATAACATAGCTAGAAATAAACCATACATAGTACATTTAGGTTTACATCGACCAGGATAAACTTCACCAGAATTATTTGCTAATAAGAATTCATTATTTATTCTCATTGACGATGATAATGACATTGGTATTGATGAGATCGAACCAGATGGATTAAGTGTAGATGGGGTTACACATTGACAATCAGAATATTTCTAGTTGAAAAAAAGAGAATATTTCTCTTGTTTTAAAAATAAAATTGAATGAAAGTTATACACTGAGATTATTATTATTATTTGAACACATGAATATTGGTACAAGAGAGCGCCACACAAAACAATGAGAATTCGAAGAGAAATAGAATAAAAAAAGCTAAGGAGCGCAAAAAAAGAGCACAATAACGAAGAGTTTGGTGTAAGGTAGTGTGGTAGTAATGAGGGAGGAAAGGTGCAATCGGAAAAAAAATCTTTCAGGTAAGAGAGACACAACCACTTTTTATGAAGAAAGTAAAAGAAGGTTACAGCAAGATCGCCACTGGCTTCTATTCGGAGCCATATCTGATAACGTCTCTAGCCACTGTGTAACACCATCTCTCAGACCCCAAGCAGGGAGTCGTGAAGGACCAACACAAGCCAGTCCTTTGCAGCTTTCTTTCATACCACGACACCATGTCATGCACTGACCACCTCTCCGCTTCTTCCAACCAGTCCCAGAGTCGGCAAATAATGCACGACGTGGAATTCTCTGGGACAACATTCGGAGAACATGTCCAAGTCACCGAAGTCGGTGTTTCAAGATGGTGACACCAATTGAATTATCATCTCTGTGCCCGAACACACGATGCCGAACTTCTGCATTACTGACATGGTGTTGCAACTGAATGTCAGCAATCCTTCGGAGACAGCGATGATCGAACACAGAGAGTCGTCTAACGTCCTCAACTCGGAGAGGCCACGTTTCACAGGATGAACTCTCTATGTCTATACACTGAGAAAGAGATTTACAATGATTACCACTGTACAAGTCAATATACATTTACATGAGAATAGATTAGAAGAAAGTTAGACGTTGCCAAATCAAGACAAAGTATCAGTCCATGTTGTAAGTAGCTACTGAAATGGCTAGCGTTGATAGGCGCAGATTACCAGATCAGAGTCAGCGAGATTATCTCAAATCTATAGTTGGAGTTGCTAGGTAACACTGGCTCAGAATAAAAACCACAATGGTGTGTAGATCAATTCACTTAGATCATGAGTTTTAAAATTATCATATACGTATAATTCTGCGAATCTATCCTTTCTTCTCTGATCATAATATACATAAAATCTTTTCCACTACTAGTGATACTGTTACTTATTCCATTACCCTGAAATTTGACTTGATATTTTGATCATATTGTAGTATGATAACTTGAACAAATGAATATGTATGTGAAGTTCTATATTGTTTATGGCTGATTGATGTAGTGTACAAGACAATGTATATATTGACTTAATGTTATATAAATCAAGAAACAGAATTTTTCAAATCATGTTTCCTAAACCAATTACAATTATGAAGTATTCATTATTGAATAATAGATTTATGGTATTAATTAAAGAATGAAGGAAGCTATGCACAGTTAAATAGGTAAATAAATAAAGAACCAATAAACAACATTAAAACAATTAATAATTACTGTTATACATATGACTATTTAGATTAATCAAAATAAATGATCTAAGCGATTGGAATTATACAATATAGACGAGATGCTTCATGCTTCTATAATTGTTCTATCTGAATGACTCTAAAATCGTTAATATGCTAGTATAGTGGACGCTACTTACAATATTTTTTTAAGTAGTGTGTACAGGAATGTGGCGTTGGAGTTACAGCAATTGTCACACGGAATGAAGAGTTTCAGAACATTGAAAACACGGAGTTGGAGATCAGACGAGAATACGATTCAGACTGCAGTGCACACCGAAAGGTTTAAATGGAAGACTGAAGACTATGTATATGTATTATGTAAATAGTTCGTAACTTCTCACAATAAATATACATTACTCCGGCCTACTGTGCTTTACACTAGTTGTGTACACTAACTGGAAAACATACATGTTTAATGTAGAACAAACAGAGCAGAGAATTTATGCAATTGATACGAGTTATTAATGGTTAGTCCTTGTCCTAAATTTCAGACAGATAAGCAGTATATATTAGTGTAGCGATATTGAAGTTCAAACTGGGACTTGAAACCATTGTTTATCGCTTTAGGTAAATCTAGTCGATGAATCCTGAGTAGAACGAAACAATCCCCAAATTATATTACTAGTTATCATTCGAAAACATTGTCAAATTCATAAATACATCTAATATCTAAATATCCGCTTAATGAGTGCAAATATCAACAAAAACTAGTCAATACATAGTGCCCGCAGTGTCGAGTCACCTAGACTGGTGGCCACATTGCAACATGATCGATAGCATTCGATCTGCACTAATAAGGACTAGACAAGCAAGACATTGATCACCACCCAGTGATCAATCAATTGTAATTACATCTCAGTCCTACAGGAGGTTAGTCATGACTCGGATAGCTCAGTGGTAATGTCTCTGACTGTGAAGCTGGGTGACACGAGGTCGAATCCGCCAGGGAGCACCAGTTCCCTCAAGATTACAGGTACACCTTGCTGACGAGTGCCAAGTAGCACGAAACCCGGGTCCAGGGTTTCCTGTTGACTACCTCCAACCACCATCTAAATCTCAATACATAGTGCCCGCAGTGTCGAGTCACCTAGACTGGTGGCCACATTGCAACATGATCGATAGCATTCGATCTGCACTAATAAGGACTAGACAAGCAAGACATTGATCACCACCCAGTGATCAATCAATTGTAACTAGTCAAAATCTAGTCCAATACATTAACAGAAGGAAAATGCAAACACTTTTATCAATCATAAAATACTGTGGAATATCGAAGTAAGAATAACCGGTAAAGCGAAGAGTTCTCTTTACGGTGAATTTATTTTTAAAGTTATACTATCGCAAATACATACTCAGTTTTAAAAAAAAATAATTGTTGTGACTTTAAGCTTGGTTTGTTATCCCATGATTTATTCTCTAATCGAGATATGACTTATTCAATCTTAGTATTGTACCAAACCTATGTCGTTCAACTGGTATGAACAGCCGAGCGTCCTTATTGTTCCTTTGTTCGCCTAGCCTGTCTAGTTGAGTTCAGAACACCAATAACAGCTTCCACTATGCGAATCATTTATTTCAAACATACTTGGTTTATATACCAGACAAACAGACCGTATCACACCATAAAATAGGAAATAACATCTATAAATGATCAAGCGAAAAAGTGGCCAACTGAAACAAACTTCTAGTAAAGTTAGTTGGTGGATAGCAGAGGAATTCACGACTATTGTTTCGCTTTATTTGAGACTCATCAGCTGGACATAAACGGGTTCTCATGTTGCTGCTCATAATGGGATTTCAATTCAATACTCTAACATCAAATGACCAAAGTGTTATTCACTGAGCTACAAAGTTTACATAGCCACTAACCTGTTCAACGAATAGAAATTTAATTTGTAATGTTTTGTATGTTGTTTCTGGATCGTAATGAGAGCTACTACTGTCTAAAATTACTTTTTACTTAATTGCATTATCAAGTCTGTTTGCCATCAAGATGTATAAATTTCAAAAGAGACTAATCAATTGAAGTTTTTAATGTTAACAAATGGAAGATATAATTTATTTTCAAATTGGAACCGACTTCATTTATTCATTCAATCATTAAATTACTTCAATTTCTATCTACTGACATCAAGACTGTAGAATATCAAGAAGTAAAACAAAACGATTGTGAAATATAAATTATTTAACATATGGAGAAATGATCCATTTACATCCATACAACACAGAAGACCAATACATAGAAAGAATACATAAGAAAAAAACAACACCTACCTTTACAACTCCAGCTTCTAAAACACGTGTTCTGCATCCAGCAAAACAAGGATTGAAAAATGTCAATGATTTCCTATCACAGTCATCAATATTATCATTTGGACTACCGAGATTATTATCACCATTAGTACAAGTTATTTGATTATTTGTCTTCTTTTTGATACTACTATCACTCTTAGTAGTAGTAAAAGAAGAAGAAGAGATAGCGGTCCAACACACAGGATTATAATGATTTACTGAACATTGTGATTCAATGTAATGTGTATAATGACGATTATCAAATTTTTTTATTCGATTATTAGATGAATAACAAAATTGATTACATGGTGCTGTTAAATTTGATGGTATTAAAAAACCTGGACCATTTTTCCAAGGCCAACTAAATAATAACAAGAATAAAATTATAAAATACACTTTAGATATTTATAAAGAATTATTCAATTAATAGTTTACACCATGAACTGACTTTAATTAGATAATTATTGAAAATCAATAAGAAGTTATTCCTTGATTATTGTTGTTGTCCGGTTTAGGTGATGAATTGAATTATGGACATTGTTGTATTTTAATTCAGTGGTCGATAAAGGTAAATGAGTTCGTTTAAACATAACTAAGAAATAAGTAAGCTAAGGGGATCCATACTACTTTCTAATTCTGAATGGTTTGGCAGTGATTATCAGTTCCATAATGAAAATCATGCTCAAAGGGAACATGAATATATGTGTGTATAAATCCCAGTATTGAATAAGGATATAGTATCGTTGCAACAATAATAACAACATCATGTGTAAATTCATACTGTTGGCTATGAGCCACATTGTGTATGACGGCCAGTGGCAATAGCTGATTGCTAAAGTAGATGAAATGGGACTCGAATCAGCGACTGATCACAAAATGAATAGGTCATACTGTAGTGATCAAGAATACCAGTGGGGACAATCGAATATGTTTGAGCACAAAATTACAGAGCATCTCAATAGGATCCGAGAACCATATAGTAAGTCGTTAATTTGCAAAATATCAATCCATCATATCAAACTTGACTGTTCCTGTTGCAAATATCAAATTATTGTCTCAGATTTCATTGTTCATGCGTTTTCATACCAATTGCATTCCGATCCCGTCATTTCCATATCGACCTTCGATACCTGACTACCGTAACATACTACTTGTATGGATATAAGTAGCCCACACCACAACACTAATAACTAACCGTTCCAAAATAATAAACAAAAGAAAACCTAACCATTAACACTTTAATCAAATATATGAATTAACTATTCAAAGAAAAGATTAAACTTTAAACTAACAAAACAGTAGGATATAATTTAATCTTCCGTTAAAACAAGGTTAGTAAATTAAAATGAAAGATATCATTTTGAACAAGCTATTAGAAGCTATATATATATATTAGAAGAAATGTCATTTTAAGGTCAGTCAGTCAATCAATGTGATATAGAGCTGTTACATAGAACAATATCATTTTTGCATATACATATGTGTGTATATATATGCGGTTGAATTCCATTCCATCTGAATAAACTTCATCAAATAAAAACAAGCGTTAATCTTTATAGGACATAATATCCAATTTTCAACATGTCAAATTGACCTCCTTCTTATTTTAATTTAGAAAAGGGAAATGAAAAACACGAAGAAATTAATTTTTTTTAATTCTTCTTAGATAATTAAGATCTATAGAGCAAAATTAATACTTATAAACGAGAAAAAAAAGAGAGGAAGAAATGGTCACAATTTATTGAGTGAATTATCAACACAGGGGATAGAATCAAGGACCTTCAATCTCACTTGCATGCACATCTAATGGTGCGCATATATCAAATTTTAATCGATTCATCACGTTGTAAAGTGAATTATGGTTACCAATGATGGTCTAGTTAAGATCAGTTTATGATGTAAACTATGAAAATTCAACAGTCTACAGTGAACCCTTGTGCAAAAAGGATTTTTGTAAAAAGTTAAAAATAACACAGCACAATGTAAGTATGATGATGTTTTTTCTTTTTCTTCTGGAAGCATAAAAAATTCTGCCAAGAAAAATACATAAATGTTGAGTAACTGTGACATAAAATAAGATTATTATTTAGACTACTTAATTCTAATTATAAACCAGTGTGAAGAAATGTTAAAACTTTGAAAGCTATACATACATACTAACACCTCAGGCAGAATGAAGGCATACAGCCAACACTCTCCACTGTCTGATTCAAGCAGTGGGGTTAGGCAGGGTTGTTAGGTGTCACAATTCCATATCGCGCATTATTTGGCGACGCCGGGACTAGTTGGAAAAAGCACATAGGTGATCAGTGTATGGCATAGTGTCAAGGTATGAAAGAACTATACACAAGACTGGTATCTAAAGGTCCTTAACGATTCCCTAGTTAAAATCCAAAAGGTAGTGCAACAGATGGGTTTGAGACATTAACAGACATAACTCAGAATATAGAAGCCAGTGGAGATCCTACTATGACTTTATTTTACTTTCGTTATGTAAATGAAAGGAACGTTTTAACCGGAAGAATCCTTTCTTAACTGAACTGCTTCTTCCATTATTATTATTTCGCTCCCATACACTTATTTTCATTCAATTTATTGTCTCTTTTTTATTTTACTCACTTACCTTTATCTTTTCACAATCTCATCTTCATTGTGTGGCGAGTATATGTTTTGACTTATTTTAGTACCAATGTTTTATGTTTACTTGATATTGTTTTATTTGAATCTTCCCATTGATGTTTCAGGACTGAAGTTGATCAGTCTCTTATTGGCATATGTGCATACTGTGCGTATGCCTCGATATTGCCTTAATTTACAAGCATTATAAGCAGAGATGGATAGTGGCTAGCAGTGGAATCCAGAACGCGCGTTTCGTCCTGTTTGGGACTCGCGATGGCGTTTGAAGCGAACGGTACTGAGTTCGAGTCCCAGAGTGAACATCAACTCTGAGATGCAGGTACATCCAGCTGACGAGTCCCAAACAGGACGAAACGCGCGTCCTGGATTCCACTGCTAGCCACTATCCATCTCTGCTTATAATGTTTTATGTGTTCAAATAATTAATTATGTAAATCAAAATGTCAATGTAGTAATGAATACAAGAATTAATAGAATAATTGTGTGCAACTTGAATATACATTAACCAAATCTGTACTAAGATCCTATAAACTCTTTATCCAAACCCCTAACTATTGAGAAAACAAAAGAATTCAGGAATTTTATTAACAATCCAACAAAATGAAATACAGAGAAAACGCATGAAATTTCTAGAGTGTCGATTAAAGATTCTACCTTCATAGAGCCAAACTCTGACTAATTAAGATTGAATTTTTTCTGCAAATCTCTATTATCAACTGAATTCAATCAGTCATAGATAACGTCGAGACTTGGCTTAAGTTTATATAAGTCTAATTCAACACTACATCAGCATAGCAAAATGAAATTAAGGTGAATATCATAGAATCGGTACATTATTAGTGATAATATGAAGATGATTTGAGTAGAAAAGGCTATATTTCATAAGAATAAATGAACATAGAGCAGATTGCTGAATAGTATATTCGGATTTTCAAGTTTATTACTTTTAACTACATTTTATTTCCAACTGACCAACTTAGAATGGTATAACCTAAAAGAACGAGTGTACTAAAAAATACAGTTCGAATGGTAAAGTTGATCACAACCACACCAAGGTAGAAGTTACATTATGATGTCAACGGAATCGATAATAAATGATTGCAGTTTATGAATAAATAGAGATTTTTACAAAGGGTTCATTGATATGAATAGACCGACAACAAACATAAATCAATGATACATAGTGTTTTATTTCAGCTGACCTAAACAATTCAACACATCACGTATCATACTACGCACACACCCATACAAATATCATGTCATTCATGTCGTCTCATAGTGATCGGTCAGTAGATTTTTATTTCTAATGAATTATTCTAGTAGTTTACTATCCCATACAATGTATGTGTAAATGACAGTTAAACCTTTAAATTCATTGAATTAATGAGATATGATTGTTATGTCAAAAACGGAAATCAATTTCTACCAACTCAAAAACATTTGAATATAATTGTTAAAAAAATTCATTTTTAACTATATAAACAATAATAAACTAGAAGTGTTAGCGCACGAGAACGAAGATCCTAGGTTCGAATCCCACGTGCGGGATCGTGGATGAGCACTAGTGGTGGATTCCATACTGGGACAAAACGGCCGTTCAGTGCTTCCAGGTTTTCAATGGTGGTCTAACATTGATCGATTCATTATCTCAATGAAAATCGAACAGTCTCCACAACCCTAAACTGATAACAAACTTCATAGTGAACATATCGAGGCAATCAATGTTATGATAACAATATATGTGAAGTAATATAGGCCGTCATCAACTATTACTAAAAGAAGAAAGAAAAAAATACATTTTATGGGGCATATACAACTTACTAGTTCCATTAGTATTAGGCAGAGATTGTTGAATTTTAAAGTTTCATTATTGAACGACTTCAATTAGAGAACTATTGAAACTATAAAGCACTAGACAAATGTTCCGTTCTAGAAAAGAACTTTTAAGTAGAAGTGAACATCCGTAACCTTACTGGCGATCAAATCTGAGGGCGTTCATCTTGCAGGGAGATGGATTTTGTTATAAACTAACATCAGTACTAAACCTTTGAACCACTAGGTCGGGATCCAATGATATACCGTTCTAATTACAACCAATTAATGATAATCAACAGCCACTAGATTGTACTAGCCGTTTAACACTAACTGTTTGAACTGCACTGATCAACGCCTCTCATTAGAATTGCGATAAATACTTGTCTAAATTCATCACTAGGTTTTCGAATTGTGTAGAATACATCATCAAACAAAATTAAGTTTTTGTAAGACATATGATAGTCCAAAAGTGTATTGAAATATGACATGAGAGTAAAGATTAGAGTAAGATGTTATATTGAAAGGTTACGACTAAGGCTGAGATCAGAATAGTGTTAGAACTGCGGTTATGGGTGAAACTTGGGTAATAATTACACATTAACGTATAAATATACTAACCCAAAATCCTTACCTTAATTCTAATCGTAACCTTAACCTCTAATGGTTAAGAACATGTAACAAACCTAGAAACGTTAATTAACCATGAAAAATAATATATTCTCTGATTTTCAGTTTGCGGTTGTAGAGATCGCTGAATTTCCTTGAAGTCATGAACCGGTCAATGTTGGGCCACTATTGAAAACCTGAGAGCACTGGACGGCCGTTTCGTCCTAGTATAGGACTCCTCAGCAGTGCTCATCCACGATCCCGGACACGTGACTTGAACCTAGGACCTTCAGTTTCGCGTGTGAACGCTTAACTTTTAGACCGTTGAGCCGGGGTCCGATGATGTTAGTGTCTAACTTAAATCAATCTATAGTATTGCGCAACCATCTTCTATAGTCTTCGGTACGTAGCTGCTACACATTCGAACTCCCCTGGTCACGGCTTCGCATTAGAAGCCTGAGAATTACCTCTCGAAGGTAGTCACTAATGAGCACATCATAACTTTTAGTTTGCGGTTATGTAGATTGTTGAATTTTGTTGAAATCATGAACCGATTTTCAGTCGAAACTGATTCACTTTTTTTGTTTTCTGATTGATTAAGATGAATTAAAATCCCACGATTCTTCGACAGTAATACTGTAGGTTTACCATAACAAGTAATGAAGAGTTAGCATTAAGGACTGAAACTAAATGGAAAGAAGTTATTAAATGATATGTTTATAGAAAAAAAGTAACATTTAACAACATAGAAATGGAAGAGAAGACAGGATTTTCATGGAAACAATAGTATATTGAGAATTTTATGGATACACAGATACACACATAGCACAAAAAGAAACAAATTTTTGACTTACTTTTCCCCGTTATATGTAGCTGTTATACCTGCTACTCGACTAGATTGACAACCAATTGACATTAGACTAATACTCGTTATAACAGTCAATGAAATCATAATACATAAACCAGATAAAGTACGATGTAACGTGGGTCGAAAATGACGCATTAGTAAAGCACCAGACAGAACACCTAATAATGAACTTGGAACTATTACAGCACCTATAATTTAGAAGAAAACGAATAGATGATGATAAATAGGAGGAACATTACAATAAGGAATGTCATTTAAGAAATACAGGGAAAAAGAATAAAAAAGATCAATATTGATTAACGATGAGAATTCGTTTACATATGTATAAAGATGGTTGAAAACCATGACCCAACATTATAATCATTTTGAATTTAAAAAGTGTAAAATATAACCCACATGACGTAATTAATTTAGAATGAAGTTAGTAGACAATAGACACAAAGAAGTTGTTATCTTCATTACTCAAATTTGAAATGGATAAAGTTACTTATTAAACTTACTTACAGTGAAAAGTTATTTTTAATAGTTAAAGCTGAGAAATAACCTAATAGTAACCAAATATGCACATTATTCAAATTGAAGACTTCGGATTATAACCGTAAAAAGAAATCGATAACAGACCACAAACTTATCACACTGTGATGAGTAGAATAAAGACATTGGTATCAGAAAATATCGTGAAAAAGTATCAGTAAATATTAAACATAGATTATAAATTAATTACTACTGTTGTTAATATTACAGTGAAATGTTACATGTAGAGAAAATTCTTAATGAAAACATCAACGATTGTCGAAATAAGATCAGTAGTCTTGAGCGCTGTTGAAAATATGAGAGCAGCTCTCACTTCCCGGTTGTCCACACCGTAGAAGGGTTCTTCTGAAGGTACCTGAAAACGAAATCGGATTAGAGGTGGTCTTAGTGACCTGAGAGCGTGACCGCAGTGCCCAAGGGACAACTACTTGAGCTCGGTCACACACGACCTTTTTATGGGTAATTTTTGTGTCAGCTCCGTACTTGTTGAAACCTTACCGCCGGAGACGGATATCTGTGGGATAAGGCCAGGTGTGCATTTTTAGGGTCGACCTTTTCTAACCCCACACCTCCTTATGGGAAGGCAACATCGATGTCATGTTGGTTGTCTGAAGGAAACACCTTGCTGATGTCACACCTCTGTACAGTCAGCAGTACGACTTCGCCTTCGGAGCTTAGGTTTGTTGCATTTAGTCTTACCGCACTTCAACAGACCTGTCTAACATTGTAGAACCTTGTTCCAGCCAGCATAGCTCGGTCGCTTCATCACGATAGGCAAGCCCGACCACCACGTCAAGGTAGCAACAACGTTCGAGATCAGTGTTTCCAAGTTTTCAATGATCAGTAAGTGGTGCAAGATATAAAATTCAAAAATTTCCACAAACACCTTACATTCGTAATGATTTTACAACTCATTATGTTAATCTTATCTCGATATGCTATTGGAGACTTGAGACAACGCACATCTTTGCCACAACATAAGTTAATTATTTAGCTAAACACAAACATTGGTACAAGGAGGCACCAAGTATATATACTCCACACATTATTATTAGATTTGCGTGAGCTGGCTTACTGTCCGGATGCCCAAATCGAGGCAGGTGATTTTCCCAGGTCACTCCCGGAAACTTTAATCTGGAGGTCTAATATATATAAGGCTGTGGAGAGACATTAGGAGATGAAATCCCGTGGCAACTAGTGATCAACAATAGGTTCATATGCCATTTGTTCCCTAAGGGTCCTTCAGCCTATGTGCATCATTGGTTTGGAATTATGGTTTTCCAACTCCACTAGGTGGGTCATCTATATCCACCAAACCAATTAAGGCGTCGGACATTCGTTTTTCATCCTCTCAGTTTCATAAACAACACCACCACGAGAAAGCAGTGAATAGGACTTCCTTGTCAATGGATGTATACACGTGACCATGTAAGAGCATTTCGAGACAGAGAGAGAGAGCTAACTCTTCCCACCCTGAGCCATAACAGAGCATTTGGAGTTCAATACGTTGATAACAACTTACTGATAACCCACCCCTGTCAATTTCATAATTCCATTTTCTATACATTTAATTATAATTAATTCATTTGACCATATGATATTATTATATTGTTCAATTACATAAGCGTATATCATTATAATTATCATTACTATTATGATTATTTACAGACAATAATCATTATGATGGCAATAACTTGTATTCATATCTTATGTTTATTCACATGATATACGGCAGGAAAAAAAGAAGTAATAAAAATAAATTTATATGAGTTTGTGCAGTAAAACAATTACATGTTTTTTGGATTTTATGTTTTTAGTAACCAAAGGAGTATGTACCTGTAAATCAAACAATATAGAAGTACAAGTCTATTCTAATACAATATCTACTGAATAATATGTTTATAGAATGTATAGAGACTGCTAATACTACTACTACTACTAGACATAAAATGACAAATAATTTGAATAGACATTGAAGGATTGTTGAAGATATGACGTCTTAATGAATATTTAGAAGAAAAAAAGAAACATTTTAGATGTTTCGACCAAATCAATAGTATATTAATGTTGACACAAAATCTTTGGCAATGTAGACAAGGTAATTTAATCAAGAACCACATAATAATAATAATAATAATAATAATAATAATAATAATAATAATAAATTGTATTGGATACAATATCGAATAGGAAATAGTCTTATACTAGTAGTACATAAAATAAAGTAGTCTATTATATGTGATGATGATGTATGAGGAGGTTATGTCTGTCTACATTCAATAGCTAACAATAATTTGACCGGAAATATAATTGTAAGTTTAAGTCATATAAATCAATGAACTTCTTGGGTTACGTTTTACTGATAGGAATAAAAAAAATGTAAACAGTATGAAGTATAAAAGATACTGGATATGAATAATAATAATGTGAATGTCAACACTAGGATGTGGCAGGTACATATTCAGTTGATGAATATCAAATAGGATGAAGTATAGATTTTAGACCCTATCGCTGAAAACCGTTTATCTATTCTCAGTCAGTCAGTTAGCTACAACGTAGAACCAGACACATATATGCATCTGTCCAAGTTGCGACAAGTCATTAGCACAGCAAGATAATCATCGAAGTAGTTACTTTAATGGTAGTAATATATAAAAGAAAGATCGCATATATATATATATATATATATATATATATATATATATATATATATATATATATATATATATATATATATATATATATATATATATATATATATATATATATATATACAAAACTTTGTCGTTTCAATCGTGACGTGTAAGAAATTGTTTTCAAAGTTTGTTGAAAAATAATCCGTTAAGATTTTATTGTTCCTTTAAGGATTAATTTACGTAAGAATACCTGAGGTGAAAAAACGGATTAGCGATGTTTTTAGAAGTACAATTTACAGACAAATCTGGTGACCAATGTCATTTGTCTAGTGTTTTTTTAGCGCTGATCGAATTCTATTGATCAATAACAGATTGTTTACTATTCATTGATCATTTGATTGTAAATATCTCAATCATATAAAAAAAAGTTAGAAGCGAGCTCAACTGTTTAGTCTTACCATTCCAGATATTCAGGTTAGGTGATGCCAATTCGGATCCACCAATGAGTAATGGTCCCCTCAACATCACAGATACACAGTGTTGACAAGTGACAAATATCAGAAAACATACATACAGTTATTAATTTTATTTCAACCGATTCTGTAAAGCTATAATCTACTGATGATTATGAGAGACCATTACATATAAAGCTTATTTTAAGTTATTAAGAATCCAATTGATATGTAATAACCAAGAACAAAGTTGACGAATACTTTGAAGATTCAAAAGGATGAATATTTTTATAATGATTTCTTTGATTTAAAATATCAGGAACCATTAAAGGTATCCTTATAGATCCAGAAATTATAGTTCCTATTCTTATGCTTTCTCATATTCTCATACATGCTATCAACTATGTATCATATCGTTTACTGAGTTATAAAAATGATGCAAGCTATCTATCATTGCGTTATAGTTTTCGAGCTAAATTCCGAATGGTTTTATCTTACATAGAACTAGTGCGCCTGGATGGTAAACTTTTAACACTCACTTAATACATTATTGTTGAAAAAGCATGGAATCGCTTCATCGGTTATCTGGAGACTCACTAAGTCAGTGAACAACTTGTTGGGGCGGAGGCATAAAATGAAAAGTATTAGGTATGAGTCTTAAGGTGAACATCCAAAAGCTAGGATCTAGGTATAACCAACTAAAGACGAAATATACATTCCCTTGATTTTTACAACTAGCTACAATCAATCTATATGAAAAGTGTATTGTTCTACTTTCAATTTTGATTAGATTGTGTTACTTCTAATTAATCACCTAAACATGAATTACCATCTTTATTATTATAATGTCACATTAATTTTGTTTAGATTACATCATATTTACGGATTAACTTTTGAATAATCTAATTTCTATAATGTTTTACCATTAAACTTAATCTATAACATTTTAATACAATTTAGGAGATTTATGTTGGTGATTAAATTTTCATTGTTTACACATCATGAACATCTCTATAACTTAGTTTAAAACTATGGTTGTTTAGCTAAGTAAATTCAATTGATGGTATGAACTATGAACATATAATTTCAATCCTTATAAAAAATGTTTACAAACAGTTACTGATTAGAAATTGATTCGATTTACATTATTGGACAATAGAACAAAAGCGCAAGTAGAGAAAACAGTGTATATTAATAAGAAATTATTATTTTTATCATTTAAACACATAAACATTGGTACAAGAGGCACCAAGTAGATATGCGCTGCATAAATCATTCGATTTGTGTGCAGGCTGTGATACCGCCCAGGTGCTCAAACCGAAGCAGATAGTTTTCTTAGGGGGGCACTCCCCGAGCCTTTAACCTAAAGGTCTGACCCACAAGGCAGTGGAGCATCGTGAGGAGATGCAGTCCCATGGTAGCCGGTGACCAACGATTGGTTCATACGCCATTTGGTCCCTCAGGATACTGAAGCCCATGTGCACCATTAGTTTGTAATCCGGTTAAAGCGCCGGACATTCGCTTTTCGTCCTCTCAATTTCGTAAACAACACCCCTGCCACGAGAG